ACAACAGTTTCCCAAAGACTCTCAATTAGTCAGTGGATGGGGTAGGTTTTTCTGACTCCTGTAGACAGTGGACTTTCTGAGGGCATGGCCTGTATTTTCCCTCCTCAGTGCTCACGGAGGGCCTCTAAAACCGGTGGGCACCCTGTCCTTGTTACCGCCTGGCTCTCAGGACTCAACTTGGCCACCAGCTCTCACAGGTCTGGGGCTATGTCTAGGGCTGAGCGTGCTGTCCAGGGAGGTCAGAGCACCAGCCTCGGGTTCCAGAGTGGCCCAGCCTTTTCTCCCCTCTGTCCACCCAGCCTGCCCCGTACCTTGACAAAGTCATAGTAACAGCCTTCAGAAGGCTCCAGGTCAAACTGCCAGAAGACGAGCTTCACCCTGTATCCCGTGGGGACTGTGATCACAGTGGTTGTCTCAAAGTTGTTGGGGTAAGGCTTGGGGTACAGAGGGGACATCACCTCCCCAAAGAGCTGCGGAGGGATGGGGATGGAGCCTCCCACCCTGCAGAACAGGGCCGACACCAGGAGGCAGAAGAGCAACCTGCCAAAAAGAAAGAGGGTGTCTGCGGGGCTGGAGGGGTGCAGCACCCTTGCTGTTTGGGCGGTGGCCGGGGCGGGGCATTCTCCTCTCTGCCCATTCTGGACCTCGCAGAGATGTACTTGGTGGCGGTGGGTGCGGGGGGAGGCTGACCTTTGCAGCTGCAGCAGCGGATATCACTCCCCAGGGCAGTGTCCAGTCCAGAGGTCAGCATGCTCCCATCTAACTCCCTCCCCAGCCTCCCCTCTGCCTCCCCCCATCCCTCCCCTCCCCTTCCCAGATTAGGACAGGCTGGGGTTTTCCAGCCACGGTTCTGTGAAAGGGCTCCTGAAGGCTCAGCAAAGCCCTCTGGGAGAAACCCTGGTGGGATTTGGGAGATGCACACAGAGGATCCTCCTCCTGGGCAGAGGGGGTCCTGTTTCCTCGCTGCCCCCTCTATGGGCCTGAAGGAAGAAAGGGAATGTGGCATTACGTATGTCTAAGGTCGCCTCTGGTCCTCAGGAGGAGGGATGGGGGTATGTGTTGGCGTGTGCACGCTCGTGTGCACATTGGAATAGATGAGGTATGTGGGGAGGGGAAAGGGGTTCCCGTTTCCCTGAACAAATTTGGAGCATGACTGCCTCCTGAGCCTGGGCTTCTCCCGCTGGCTTCTCCCTCCCTCCTCGGTGCCCACCAGCCTTACTCACATTTCTCCAGGCCCTGTTTCGGATGCGCAGCTCCCCTGCCAGTGTCTTCACGCACCGCGTGTGGAGGGAGTGATGCGGGGCAGGGAAGGGGACGGAGTGACCGGAGGTGGGGGAGGGCACCATTCCCGGAGGAATGCTGTAGGGAATGAACTATTTGCATAAACAAACAAAAAAATCTGAGTTTGCACTTTTAGTTTTGGTTTTGAAATCCCTGTTGCTGGTGCCACCTGCTGGTCTATGTGGGGAAGGGCTAAGGAGACGGGGGTCTGCATTTTTAGGGACGAAGAAGCCTTTGGTTGGAGGCCCAGATGCCTTGGTTCCTAAATCTGATCAGAATTCTCCCTTTTCAGAGGTTTTCCTGCTGCTGTGCTTACAAGGTTCCTATCGAAAGGGCAATGGGAAGTCACAGGTCCGGAGGACTCCCTTTTCTGGACTGCCCTTTTCCATTGTCCTTGTTCATCCAGGAGCCCTGGTCCAAAAATGGCCCGGGATTCAACACCAGGAAGAAGTGACAGGCAGAGTGGAGCAGAGGAGGGCACGGACCGAGGAGAATGGGGTTTGGCTGTGTTGGGGCCCTGGTCTTCATTTACTCATGCCTGACACTTAGACTTAGAATGGGCATTGCGATGTCAGGGTGACCCAAAGCGGCACTAGATTTTGAGGCCCTCCTTCGCCACCTCAATGAACTCAGGCCTGACAGTGAACTTGGCTCCCTGAGAAGCCAGAGCAGCTGCAGTAGGGCAGGAACACTCTCCCGTCCTCAGCCTCCGGGTCCATCCGACTGTCTAGGGCTTAAGCAAGGGGTGTGGCTGCAGAGCAAGAGTGGCTTGGTCTTTTCTAGAGGAAGTCAGGTCCCCGGGAGGGAGTAGGGGCTCTTGTCTCTCCTGTCCACCAGGCCATGACATCCTGCTTTAAAATTTTACTCTTTTCAGAAGCCTTTCTTCCCCAAGTCTCCATGGCTTCAAGTACCCTGTGGCACTTTATTTACCCTGCAAGATGCTCTGGCTGCAGAGCAGGGCTGTTTTGTTTATCTCCTTTATTAAATTAATCCCTCCATCCCTCCACCCATCACCCACCCATTCATCCATTTACGGGCTCCCTATTTAGTGTGCCAGGCACCCTCCCAGTCAATGGGTCGCAGGGACTCATGAAGATGGGGTAGCTCCCCATTAGGTGGTGACCAAGTCATCATCTCTAACTGAGTGCACTTAGAGAGCAGGCACACAGAAGATGCGAGATCAACCAAGGTTTGGAGGGTTTCTCTGGCAGGCTTTTGTGTTGGAGCTGAGGAATCAGTCTGATGGCCGGGCTGATCCATGATTTAATTACATGATCCATGGCCTTGTTGGGTCAGGAAAGATGAAAAGATAAGGGAGAAGGAAAAGGACCAGGTCAGGAGACAAGGAGTGGGAATCTTGTCTAGCAAACTGAGCATTAGCATCCTAACAGCAGTGTGTGTGTGTGTGTGTGAGTGTGTGTGTGTGTGAGAGTGTGTGAGTGTGTGGGTGTGTGTGTGTTTGTGTGTGTGTGCGCGTGTGTGCTTGTGAGAGTGTGTGTGTGTGTTTGTGTGTGTGCGTGTGTGTGCATGTGTGTGCTTGTGTGTGTGCATGTGTGTGCTTGTGAGAGAGTGTGTGTGTGCGTGTGTGTGCTTGTGTGTGTGTGTGTGTGTGTGTGTGTTGCAAGTTCATAACAGGGGCAGATGGACTGCTAAGGAGGAGGTGGTCCAAGAAGGTAAGTCTTAGCTGAAGCTCTCCTGGGGACTGTGAATTCTGTCCTGGTTTCATGCAATGTAACTGGAAAGTGGCAAACCTGGACCTAATTAGCTCAGGCCCAGACCTACCTCCACTCTGCCCAACCATTCAAAATAACGCTTTCTTACACCTTTCTTATACCCTTGACTTATACCAAGAATAGAAAGAAGAAACAGCCATATGAAGATTGCTCCTGATTTGTTTTAAAACCAGTATTGAAGACACTGTTATATTGTTCATTCCTCTTAGGATATGATTCTGGGCAGAAGAAAGTTTCTCAAAGTAATGACAGGTTTTCCTCTGGACTTCTATCTCTATCTCATCATCTGAATCTCAAGTTCTAGATCATCTATATCTAGATCTAGATCTAGATACACATATATAGATATGGGTATATCTTTTTTGCCTTGGCAGGGAGAAACATCATTTTTTCAATAATAAAAATAAATTAAATAAACGATAATGCTCATTAAGTAAAATTTAGCAAATAGGGAAGAATAGAGGAAAGCCAAACATCCAAAATCTTACCACCTAAAACAACCTGTTTAGTATTTTGAGAGAATTTTAAATAGTCTTGTGTATTGTGTATACATTTATTTTTTTAATTTTTTAAGGTAGGAGAAATATTTATTTAATTTTTCACAAGAACGAGCTTATACTGAACAAATTCAACCAAATAATATTAAGTGCAGTCTGTGTATACATTTAAAAAATACAAGTAACCACATGTAAATACAACTTTGAGCCTTGCTACTTTTCAGAGACATACTGAACCTCTGACCGTATAGCAACTTGACTCTTCTTTTTTGGCGGCTGGCTGGTGTGGGGTCTGAACACTTGATTGGTGTTATGTCACTGTGCTCTAACCAGCTGGGCTAATTGGCCAGCCCCAGCGACTTGACTCTCAAAGCTAATAAATTTGCTCTTCTGTTTTATGTTATTCTAATTCCATTGAAAAGTTGTATTTTATTTGTGTCTTTCACTGTAAACCACCTCAAATCTTTACTAAAAATTAAAGAGTTGGTCTTCTGAGGTGCAGCAGTGCTCTCGATGACGGGGGCAGGGACTGGGTGTCGGCAGGGACTTCCAGTCCAGTGCTGCACTCACCTAGGTGTCCACAGGAGTTGGGGCCAGCAGGACGGTGAGCCAGGTGGTGCCTTCTTCACAGAAGCAGGAATTCCCAGGGAGGGAGAATCTGTAAAGATGTGGGGACTGGACCGGGGAAGTGGGTGATACAGTAGGCCTTGAGGACAACAGACAGGTATCATGGCCTACTGGGAGGGACACGGCCTTTGCAATCACACACCAGCTATGGGACTTGGGCAAGTCACTTGATCTTCCTGAGCTTCAGTTTCCTCATTTGTAAAACGTGGACAATAACATATCCTTTGCAAACATGGTGTGAGAATTAAGTGAAATAACGTGTGAAGCACCTGGCGTACAGAAGGCGTCAAACAAAAGAGGAGCTGTCACTACAGTTGCATCTTGGAGTTGTGGAAGGTGGCAAAGGCAACAGCTTGAATATCTGAAGGCTGACAAAGGGTCTTTGCAATGTTTCAGAAACGAAATGCAATTACGACCCCTTCATCCATACTCCATTTGAACAGGGGGTGAGAAGGTGAGTCTTCCACAGGTGAGTGCAGATAAAGTGGGTGAGGGGGGTTCAAAAGACCTCCAGCGTGTAGCAGCTAAGGGAAAACTTCCCCCTTGCCCTCTGAAGGTTAACCAAAAATCAACTGACAAGATTCAGAACAGTAGGAGAAAGGGCATAACAAATTTTTATTTAACATTGGGAGGGGGAATTGCATTTTTATTAACATTAACTTTCATTTTATTTAACATTGCATGAGGGAATCGCAGGACAGTGATTGCCCAATAACTTGATGCGTCCAGAAGCTGTACACAGTCTTCACAGGGGTGAGAGGAGATATGAGTAATGATTTTCAGGACAAATGAATGAGCCCAAAGAACAATGGCCTGGGACCATGACTCTCTGAGCCCTGGGGGAGGTGGCATCACAGGTGCAGGAAGAAAGGCAAAAGTCAAGCCAAGACTGTCTCATTATGCAGATGAAACTATCTCAGGTATCCCCACAGCTGCCCTCAGAAAGAACAGACCTTACACAAAGGGCGGCCTTCACCAATGCGTATTTTCTTCCCTATAGAGGCAAATTTCTTCCACAAAAGGCAGCCTCGTAGATATTCTCGTTTTTCCAGTCCCTCTGAATTAGCCATCTTAAAACATGTCAAAGCAGTATACTTTGGGGGGAAAGGGTGCTTTGCTTCAGAAGTGAAAGTTGCTGAGCTGCAGGGGCTGCCCTGGGCGTGGTGCAAACGCGCAGGAAGACAGAGGGCCAGGACAAGGCAGCTGGGGCGCCGCTTCCCATCTGGGGCGGAGTGGGCCTGAGGGGAGGTGGACTTCTCTTGCACAGTGGCCTGCAGCATCAGTGACTTCAATAGGGACTCCCTGTCCCCTTCCCAGGGCTCAGTCCTTGCTCCCAACCCTCTCTCAACTGAAGCCTCTGCAGTGCTAGTCAGGAGCCCCAGGGTCCGTCCTTGCCGTCCATCACTCCCTTGATCCAGTCCACATAGTTGAGCACTTTGGTGTAGAAGTCATAGCCCTCGCCACACCCGATGCCCCAGGATACGATGCCTGTGGCCACCCAGCGACGGGAATGATTGTCCCATACCACGTAGACGCTACCACTGTCCCCCTGGCAGACACTATGCTTCCACATCTTGTCCCCTACACAGAACATGTTGTCAGAAAACACCTCAGTCCTCTGCCTCTCTCGGAGCCAGGCCTCACAGTCCTTCCTCGTGGCTACGGGGAACCCTGAGTATTTCAGCTTAGTAGTGAACCAGCCCATCTCCATGCCAAACCCACTGACATAGCCCAGCAAGCCACTGAGATAGAGGGTCTCGTTGTCGGGCAGACAGACAGGGAGGAGGTTGGGGCCCAGGGAGACCCTGTGCTGGAGCTCCAGGAGGGCGATGTCCCCGTTGAAGTTGTGGGACTCATTCTGACGGTAGTCTGGGTGCACAACGACACGGCGGACAGGGTATTTTCCCAGTTTCAGCATCTCCTCTATGTCTGTGTGGCCCAGGAACACATCCACACTCCGGTTCTTCCCGAGAAAGATGCCGTCCTTGGGGTAGATGGTGTGGGCGGCGGTGAGGATCCATCTGTCGCCCAGTAGGGCCCCACCCCCGCGACCGTAGATGTTGGTGAAGGCTTGCCAGGGGAAGTTGCCCAACTTGGCTCTGGAAGAACCAAGGGTCTTCTGGTTCTGGGCAATGGGTGTGACTGGCCGTCCACAGACTGGGAGAGAGGAGAGGTAAGTGTGAGCAGCTGGCAGCTGCACCAAGACACTTGGGTTGCACACCTCCTCCTGTGCAGTGCTGGGCAGGGAGCCTGAGGAAGGTCCCAGGTGTGGCTCTGCGTGGGGTCAGGGCTCTCACACTGATGCAGATGCACAGGTGGAGACCACATGGCAGGCGTGAGAAGCAAATCAATTCCAATGCTATTGGGCACATACCCTGGCCGGGACTCAGGACAGTGGACTGAGGGGTGGAGGACAGGGACGAGCACATGTTTGGGACTGGCTCTGTGGGGCTCTCCCTCCCGCCGCCTCAGCCATGTCTTTAAGCCATTCCTTTAGACTCATGCTGGGAGCATCCCCCTGGCCAAATCATACTGCAAGCAGAGTTTGTCTCCAGTGCCTAATGCCTCTGTTTCTGTGTCCCGTCCTCATTTGTGACATCTCCCACTCGCCCTCCAACCCGCTCCCAGAGCATGATGAGCCTTCGGGCCTCCCCTAGAGTTTTCTGTGGATCAGATTGGGTTAGGGAGGCAATGCTTTGACTAAAAAACGTGGATTTCAAAAATGGTGGCCATGAACCCTCATATGTTGCTGGTGAGATGAAAAATGGTGCAGCCGCTGCAGAAAACAGTTTGGTGGTTCCTCAAAAAGTTAAACATAGAATCACCACATGAGCCAGCAGTTCTATTCCTAAGTACATACCCAAGAGATCTGGAAACATGTTTTCGTACAAAAACTTGTACACAAATGCTCACAGCAGCACTATTCATAATAGGCAAGAAGGAGAAACAACCCAAATGTCCATCACCTGGTGAACAGACAAAATGTGGTATCACCATACAAAGGAGTATCACTCAGCCATGAGAGAGAGTGAACTACTGACACACGTTCTAATGTGGAAGAACCTTGAAAACATTATGCTAAGTGAAAGAAGCTGGACATAAAAGGCCACATACTGTATGATTCCATTTATATGAAACGTCCAGAACAGGCAAATCCATAGAAACAGAAAATACAAGTGGTTTGCCAGGAGGTGACGAGGGAGAATTGGAGGTACTGGGGGCTTTTTTGGGGGGTGATGGAAATGTTCCAGAATTAGTAGTAATGGTTTCACAACATTGTGAATACACTAAAACTTACTGAATTGTATATATATATATATATATTTTTTTTTTTTTTTAAAAAGATGACCGGTAAGGGGATCTTAACCCTTGACTTGGTGTTGTCAGCACCACGCTCACCCAGTGAGCGAACCGGCCATCCCTATATGGGATCCGAACCCGTGGCCTTGGTGTTATGAGCACCACACTCTCCCGAGTGAGCCACAGGCCAGCCCTGAATTGTATATTTTAAAGTGGTTAAAATGATGAATTTTATGTTATGTAAATTTTATCTCAATAAAAAATTTTTTTATTGTGTGGCATCTAGGTAAGGGGATATTTTGGGGACAGAGAGCCTGTCTGTTTATGCTTAAAACACACCATATGAAGACAGGGTTTTCTCCTATTCCAACCCCTCTGTCCCTCTTCCCCCTTAACTTGTCCATCAGGTTGATTTCCTCCATGCTTTGATTTTTTTAGACATATCTTGACCCTTGAGGAATAAGGGACGAGCTCCTTGCCTCTTCTTTTCTGCGCCTTCTTGATCACCTTTTTCCCTCATCTGCTTTTATCTTCCCTTTCTATTCTAAGGCTTTCCTTGAACCGTCTGTGTCCCATCGCTCCCAGTTACAGCTGAGGCTTGCTGGGGAGTGGCCATAAAAGCAGCACTGCGCAGGTAGCTACTCACCAGGCACACAATGAGGAATCTCCGGCCCATCCTGTCTGTCTTTCCAGGTCCCCTGAGCTGTGCAGGTGAGTGTCCCTGAGGAGCAAAACAGGGGAGGCAAAGAAACATACTCAGAACTGGAAGGTGCTGGGCTAACAGACCAGGTACTCAGAGGGCCTCAGGCCTCTGGTGGGATTGAGGCAGATGGAAGCCACTTCCTCAGCAGGTGGAGACTCACCTGCTGGCACTGCCTGATAATAGGGTTCCTGGCAGCAGTTCTTGGAGGGGTGGTCTCCAGGGGTGTTGACAGCCTCAGCGCCCCCACTGGCATGGCTGGTAGACTGACTACCATTCACAGCTATAGGCAAACAGCAGTCGTTAGGCCTCACACAGACTTAATATCTGGCAACCCAGGGGCTGATTTTGGCCCATGGCTATATTAGCTTGACCTGCATGCTGGGTTTTTTGTTTTTGTTTTTGTTTTTTTTAATTTGTAGCTCATTTTATTATTTTATTATTTTATTATTTTATTTATTTATTTATTTATTTATTTATTTAATTTTTTTTAAAAAGATGACCGGTAAGGGGATCTTAACTCTTGACTTGGTGTTGTCAGCACCACGCTCACCCAAGTGAGCCACCGGCTGGCCCAGTAACTCATTTGTTTAGAGTGTGGAGCTGAGAACACCTAGGTCCAGGTTTCTATCCCTGCACTGGCCAGCTGCAAAAAGCAAAACAAAACATTTCAACTAGTATTCACAGATCAGATGGTCAACACTCAAAGAGGGTGAAAATAATTGTGATAAGAATTAACACATGGTGGTTGGAATGTAAATTAGCAAAACCTTTTTGGAGGGAAATTTAGCAATATCAAAATTACAAATGCAAATATCTTTTAACCTAGCATTTTTATTTCTAAGAATTTATCCTAAAGATATTCTCACACATGTGTTCAAAGATGTATATGCAAGGATATCCTCAGTGGAGGAACAATTAAATACATATGTTCATCAATCAATGATACTATGTGGTCATTACAAAAGCAGGAGTCAACGCTAACCGTATGAATATGGGATGGTCTTTAAGACAGATCACTGAGTGAAAAAGTGCCAAGTTTAGGACATTGCGTATAACATGCAACACACACACACAATTTATCTTCTAATGGTATAGAATGTCCTTGGAAGAATACCCAGGAAATGGAGAACAGGGCTGCTTCTGGGAAGGGTACCAGGGACTAAGGACCAGCGATCACAGAAAGACTCACTTTCTTACCATGCTGTCTTTTTTCTTTTTTTGAAATTTTTATCTTGTGCATGTGTTATCTTTCAAAAAAAAAAAGTCTGTCATCATTTAAAAGTCTAGAATTTCACTTTAAAATCTGAAATTTTGGTTTCTCTTGAAAAATGAGATGATCCACAAACACTGGGCCTGTTGATCTGCCTGGAAATAACTGCTAGAGCTGGGCAATGGCTGCCCCTTACTTGGGCTGCTCACCAGCAAGGTCAAGGCTGGGACAGGGCTGGGACAGGGAAGGGGTTGGGCCCAGGTGTCCCTGAATCCCCCCGCCTCAGCTGTCACTCAAGCTTCCACTTGTGGCTTCAAGATACCAGGGGCCATGGCTTGGGGCGGAGGCTCCTTCCTGGCACCCCCAGGAGGGACACTCACCCACAGCTTGATAGAAGGCCAGGAAGCTCTTGTGGAGGTGGGTGGCCTTGTCCTCGGAAGAGGAGTGTGCGTGGAAGGTCAGCCGCAAACTCCTCCCTGAGGACACAAACTCCCTCTGGCCAGGAGGGCTGCCTAGAGAGGAGCCCTGCTGACCACAGAACCGGCACGGATCCATCCCACTGGCTGAGATCTGAAAGGGGGAGACAGAGTGAGGGGGCGGGAAGGTGTGGGGTGAATCTGGGGTGGTCATAGGGGCATATCCTTGGCGCGACTCCAGCACTGTCTAGAAGGTCTGCACAACTCTGGGGCTTGGGGTGCTCACTTCGCGGAGCCTTCCTCAAGCTTCCTGTTCCATTACTGACTGCAAGTTTCTTCCAGACATGACCACATGCTAGAATATCTCTAGCCTACTATCATTATCTCATAAAACGCACCACGTGTTCCTTCTTCAAGAAGTTCCTGAGCACCCCACGGCTCCCACAATAGTCACTGGGTTGGAAGTTCTCAGAAGGCAGGGGCCGCATCTGTTCTGCTCAGCACTGAGTCCCTGATGCCCACATGGTGCCTGTAGCACCTCGGCTTTGACCCAGCAACTATGCAGATGCGAATCCCTCCCACTCAGCTTCTCCCCCTGCCCCCACCCCCAGCCATCACCTTCTACTTCTCTGAGTAACTTTCCATGGCCAACATCTGTAAAGCAATAAGACCCTCTGCAAAGACTGAGACTCTGGGGTTCCTGCCCTTTCTTCTTCTTTTGGGGTGCCCCTCCTCTTTCCCCATGATCTGTAAATGAAGCCCTCGCAATGGGTGGGAATCTAAGGACACAAAATGTACACAGCATGGGTACACTGGATGTCGCTTAACTTGGTTAAGTTCTTAAAGCAAGTTGTCTGTTTCAGTCTCCTTCTGACTGCTTCACCCCTAGCTGAAATCCTTTTCCTGTGGGTTCCTCACCCCAGGGAAAGAACGACTTGGAGGGAGTTCCCCGGGCCCAGGCTTCATGCTTCACCTGTTCTGGGCACACAGGTCACCGCTCAGCACGTTTCATTTCTGACTTTCGTACTGATCCACTGCCCTGGGTTCTTGCCAGCTCTCCATTCCCTCACTCTCCACACGTCTCAAATTCCTTCAAGGCTCCATCAAGCCTGTCCTGCTATGACATGTCCCAATACTGATCTTTTCCTTAGAACATCGACAATTGTAGCTCTCCACATGTAAGAGACCTGCCTCTTGAGGAAGAAGCATTTTGGTATATAGGAAACTGTCCTCGACTGATCTCCTTGGTTGTAAAACCCTCCAGTTTTCTTTTTACCCATTCTCATGAGTTGTTAGCTAAATAAAATCACTTAGGATTCTAACTAATAAAGGAGAATGAATACAAGACTGGGAGTCATAGGACCTGCATTAAATTTCAGACTTTGCTCCTAACTCCCTGTGTGACCTGAGGGAGTTTCTTAACCACTTGGGATCTCAGTTTACTTTCCTATAAAATGGTCTGTGAGGCCTCTTCCAGCCAGGGCAACATCATATCCTGGGGTGTTCTCCGGTATCTGCTGTAACAGCAGTGGCGAGCATGATGCTAAGCACCTGCTCATTCACCTCACTCTGTTGTGGGTCCTGCACACACAGCAAGCTTGGATTTCATTCATTCTTCCATTTATTCCTTCCGTAAACATGTGGTGATTATGTACTATGTCTGCAATACTTTACTAGCTGCTGGGGACCCAGATATGACTAAGGCATACTTCTCTTACTGATGAGCCCACAGTCTGGCCAAGGATACTGACAAGTAAAAATTGAACTAGACTTTAGTGTGATAAATTCTACATTTGAGGTGTGTGTGTGACTTGGCCAAGAGGAGGGAATCCTATTCCTGAACTTGAACTCCCTCAATGACAGGAAAGAGTTAAGCTGGGATTAAAATTTTCCATGACCTCCCACACGGTGCCAGCACCTCGGGGCCTGCCCTGGGATCCGGGGCATGGAGAAGGGGACCGAAACCCCCTCCCACAACCAGGTACACCATGCCAGCACCTCGGGACCCACTCAGAGACCCGGGGCATGGAACTGAGGATCGGACATTCTCCACAACCAGGCACACTGCCAGCACCACGGAGAAGGCTAAAAACATCTTCTCTGTGTGGGTGGCCCACCCACAGCCACCACGATAACCATGACTGCAGCGAAGGTGGCTAGATGCCACAACCACACAGATGGTCCACAGCCACTGGAGTGAGTTGACACAAGGAGAGTCACCAGCAGAAATAAAGAAAAGAAGAGGATGACGGAAGAGACATCTGCTCTATGATAGTATCGGGGGACTGATCACGCCTCTCAGCATTGGACAGACCATTTGGGCAGCAGATTAACAGAGTAACCATTATTCTTTCAGAGGGAGAGAAGAAATCTAGGGTGATTAGAGTGGGGAGGGGGAGAGAAAGGGGGATGGGGCGGGATTGGACAAGGGGCATAAAGAATAATTACAATTTGTAACAATATATATACTAGTAATATTGATTTGATCCACATATCTCAATGTTGAAACCCAAAAATATGTATAATCAATTTTGATTCAATAAACATTTTTTAAAAAGGTTTTTTTTTCCCCATGATTTAAGAGGAACAAGGCTCATGGGCTGAACTGAATAAAGCATAGTTCTGACTGGTTAAATCTGAAGCAATAAATACGGGCATTTATTATCTCTTCTTCCACCTCAAACCCCACTAAACTGACAGCAATATACATAATAAAGGACAAAAAAGTGAGAGAAGATGACAAGTGTTAACATTTTGGAAGAAAAAATGGAGGAAGACAGTGGCAGTGAGCCTGTGAAGGTGGGAGCCTGAATAAAGCAGGCAGGTTCTCATCACAGAACACTGGAAAGTGTCAGAAATTGGGGGACCCCGAGGATAAGCATGAGGGAAGAGCTGACAAGGGGACGACAGACAAAACCTATGTTGGGAGACCTCAGAATCCTGGATCCTCTTGCCACCTGTGTATCAAGGTAACTCCCTTGGTCCACCTGGCAGAAGACCTGAGCTTGAACCAGAAACCCTGGACTCGGGGTCCCTAGACACACTTGACAGAGAAGGTCAATGCCAGTGCTGAAAACGGATTCAGTGAAAGTCTACCTATCAAGCAGTGAGATACACCTCCCTCCCCCAAACCCTGTCCCCAACTTGTTTACCAGAATGCTGGGAGCCTGGAGCAGGAGACCGGAGGAGTCCTCTCTGGAGAGTCTGGCTGTCCCCAAATAAAACACTATTACATACTGACATGTGGGAAGTCCCCAATAGCACATTTAGGTCACCCTGTTGATAACCCTATTTTCTTTTTTTTTTTTTTTTTTTAAAAGATGACCGGTAAGGGGATCTTAACCCTCGACTTGGTGTTGTCAGCACCACGCTCAGCCAGTGAGCTAACCGGCCATCCCTATATGGGATCCGAACCCGGGGCCTTGGTGTTATCAGCACCGCACTCTACCGAGTAAGCCACAGGCCAGCCCATATAACCCTATTTTCAAACCTGTCATTTGACATTTAGCTATCCACACAGAACTTTCAATCAGCATTTTAGCTTCACTCTTAAATATGAATGAACAGCCAAGATGATCAGACATTGTAGGAAAGTCTCTAACATGAAAAGAACAGACCAAAGCAAACAGTAAAAAGGAACTTAGATGAAGTACAGATAATATAGGGAACAGAAGGTACATTGAAATATAATCCAAATAGAAGGAAAAGACTAGATATTGCATCTATAAAACAAGAACAATATTCTATAAAAAGGCACATTTAGAAAATAAGAATGAGCCCTTAGAAATGAAATAATACATCAGCAGAAAGAAACCACTGGGATTTAAAGATGATGAAATCTCTCACAAAGTATAGCAAAAGACAAAGAGATGGAAAATAGATGAGAACAGAGAACAGAGAACAAAACTAGGACATCAGTCCAGAACACAGAAAGAGGGCTGGTCAGTTAGATAAAAGTTGGTTAGAGCACAGTGTTGCGACTAACACCAAGGTCAAGGGTTCAGATCCCCATACCAGCTGGCTGGAAAAAAAAAAAAAAAAAGGAGTTCTAGAAAGAGAAAATAAAGAAAGCAGGTGTTTGGAAATTATTAAAGAAATAATACAATAATGTTCTCAGAATCGAAGGACTAGATTAAAAGAGTCTCTAGATTAAAATAACCTGTCCAACCAGTGGAAAAACCACCTGCATCAAGGCACATCACAATGGAAGTTCAGAATACTGGTAATAAGGAAAATATCCCAAAAGTTCTAGAGAGAAAAAAGTAAGTGTCAGTAATAACAATGGCATTATATTTCTTAACCATACTAGAGCTAGAAGATAATACCACCAAAATTCTGGGAGAAAAGGGCTCCAATCAGAATGCTATACCCAGATAAACTATCCATCAACTGTAAGGGTAGAACTAAGACACTCAGGGACATGTAAGAGCCTCTAAAATTTAGCCTAACATACCCTTTCTAAGGAAGCTGTTGGAGAATGTGCTCCTCCAGAATGAGGGAGTAAACCAAGAAAGAGAAAGATATGGGATTCGGGTCCAGCATAGGACAGGTCAAGGAGACCCCCAGAATAAGGGAGAAAGGAACTTCCAGAATGTGTGAAGGCTTAGAGAGCAAAGAACTCAGACCGTGGAAATGAATCATAAAGAGATCTTCAGAAGGGGCATCACCAACAAAAAAGAGGACTGACAGATTGAAATTGTGCTTGAGTATAAGTATTGGGACATACTCAGGAGGATTTACACTCCTGGCCAAGAGCATGGGGAGTGTAGCTACAGAGAGAACTAAGCAAATTAAAAATCAAAACAAAAACAAACAAAACTTCCCAAAGAACTCCATGTAATTATTGACTCCTGGGAAAGCCAAAAGTTGGAGAAGGAAGGAAATATAATTACTGTATACCATGTGTTCAGAGGTGAATACTTTACAGTCATAATAATGTAAATCATGAATATACATTTAACTAAAAATGATAATGTAGGTAAACTGGGAGGATGGGGGAGGGGAAAGTGAGTGGTGGAAACAGATGGCTAGCCTTCATCTTCTATAGTCAGAAGTTAGTAGAAAATATGAAAAATAAATAATAGAATAAGCATGTTGTTTATACACATGAAGGTAAATACCAGATGAAACAGCTACATGAATTGGAAATTATTGCCTTGGGGAGCAACAATCAGGGTGGGGAGGAATGGAGACTGCTGTTTTTCATTATAAGCTTTGGGGTACTCTGATTTTTAAAAGAGTTATGTGCATGTCTTATTTTGATATAAATTTAAACCAAAAATAACGTCAAGTGCTTTTTAAAAATGTCCTTGTTCGGAATAATGCCCTTGTCATATGAAGTTTTGTGGGAGTTCCTCTAAGGTAAACTGAACGGTTACTTAATCTTTTATTACTATTTATGCCCAGCTTCCTAACCTGACAGAGCAGACACTCAACAATGTGAGATGACTTATTTTTAGCAGCTGATGTGTGAGTCCCTGACCTTTTACCATATAGATCTGCAATATCTGCCTGTCCTGCTGCTGTCTCTTTTGCTCTGTGGGGCCCAGGTGGTAGCTAGGGACAGAGATGGTGGTGGGAGGCTGTGCCCTGAACTGGACAGACCATTGCCCCCAGGTAAGCTGGGCCCCAGTGCCCTGGACTTGTGCTCTCCATCCCTCCTCTAGATGGGCGATTTAGGGTGAAGCCACTTTCCATGTCCCTGGGAGGCCCCCTCCCCAGAGTCCCTGCAGGGCTCCCCCCAGCTCACTGTGACAGAGTCTCCTTCACAGTTCTGGGATGGCTCCAGGTAGAAATCCTGGAAGACGAGCCTCACAACAAAGCCCTCTGGAGCCTGGATGTCGGTGGTGCCCTCCTGGCCTTTGAGATATGGCTCCGGGTACCCAGGGGATGTCAGCTGCTGGGGTAGCCGCTGGGCCAAGAGGACCGAGCCCTGTGTGGGGCAAGCCTGGAGGACTCCCCAGAGGAGCAGCCACCACCTATGAAGGAAGGGCAGGGTGAGGCCTGTGATACTGAGGAGTCGGGCAGGCGATGCTGGGGATCGAGAGGCCTGGTAAAGGCAGGGGCCAGCAGCTGTGGCCTCAGCGCCTGAGGCCTGGGCACCTCCTTCCCGCTCCCTTCCTGCCCCTCCCGCACCCCAATGCCCACAGCCTGAGCTCTAGGGCCGAGGCCTAGGACCAAGTCCTCCACCCTTTGAGGACATCATCATTGCTCATCTCCCTGGAGACTCTCATCCAAAGTTGAGGGTTGCTTTCAGCTTCAGCAACTCCCACCCGACCCCGGGATCTGAGGGAGCAATAGTGGTACAAATGCGGGACATTTAAAATTTTTCCGGCTCAGAGCACCGAGCAGGACCACCCCCAGGGAAGGCTGCTAGAGGCCACAGGCGAACTCCAGGACTGGTCCGCATTACCGCCATGCGCGTGCGTGTTGTGTGAGTGCACACGCCATGCACGTGCCCCACTCTCCCCTCTCCCCACCTTTCCTCCTCTGGCTCTCCACGGGGCACACTCACATCTTGCCTGGGCAGCTTGTGCAGTGGGGGCTTCTCCAGAGAGAGTTCCCCCTCTCTGGGACCAGGCATCTGGAACCGGACATCTGGGAGCTGCCAGAGGACTTGGGCCAGGCCAGGGCACAGGAGAAGGCCCTGTGGGGCAGGGAGGGCGGAGAAGTTACTGGAAATGAGTTAAGTAACTCCTCAGGTTCCCTTTTTCTAATTCTCTGAGTTGAGCGCCACCTGCTGTCTGGAGGAAAAACTTCTCCAAAACCACGCTGGCACTCAGACCAGGGTGGGAGGGCACTGACGCTTGACTCTTTGTACTATTTAAAACAAATGTGTGCCATGTACATGTATCACACATAGTACGATGGCTTCTTACAGCTGCTGCCTTTAACTGGCCGTGTCTCTCCCTCCCTGACCTTCCCAGTCATTTACATTATCAGCCCACTTCTTGTAGACATTGAAGTTTGCGGCCCGTGAACTTGAGATTTCCCTCCTCTCCCTCCTTACCAAGTATGGGTGGGGGTCACGTGTAGGTATTCTTTTGCGTCCTGCCACGCCCCTGAGGCTTCTTGTCCATCAGGGTCTGCTGGGCAGAGCTGGGGTCTAGCAGATGGGTCCCTGAGCCCCCAGCCTCAGCTGTCACTCAAGCCTCCTTAGACAGATAGCAGGGGCCATGGCATGGGGCAGAGGCTGCCCTCCCCACACCCCCAAGAAGGACAGGGCTTGGTAAGGGGCCAGGAAGCCCCTGTGGAGGTGGGTGGCCCTGTGCGCAGAAGAGGCAGGTGTGTGGAAGGTCTTGCATTCTAGACACACACACACCTCCCACAGAAGAATCTATTGCTTCCTCCATTTTGCATGTAGTGATATGGGTCCTCACAAATGCAGCAGGTCACAGACCCAAACAGAGTATGTTCTGGATCTTTGATTTTTCCAGACTAAAAAGGCTCAGGAGAGCCACAGTCCATGGTTTCAAGGGAGTGGCAGGAGAGGGATGATATGGACAAACATAACTTTCCAGGCACAGCCTTGGGATCGAGTCTACCCTGTCTGCCATACCCCGACCCCAAACACACCTGGGGATAATCTCCCATATTCATCTTCTGAGGAGCATTCTCCTCTGATTGGATTTCTCCCCCCACCCTGAGAGCACTGAAACCTGCCCTCTCACATAACACTTAGAGTCACCTGGGCACCTGGGAAGCCAGAGATGCAGCCACAAGGTGAACAGTGGGACCAATCCCATGACACATGTGTTGGGAAGAAACCAGCTAAAGATGTCTGCAGAAAAGGAGGAGAAAGACCTTTAAAGGAAACTCCTGTAGGAGGTAGGATGACCAACTTCCAATTTGCATGGGACTAAAGAGTTTCCTGGGACATGGGGCTTTCAGTTTTTGTGGGTTTTTGTTTTTGTTTTGGTTTTTGTGGCTGGCCAGTATAGGGATCAATCCCTGGACCTTGGGGTTATGGGGCTTTCAGTTTTAAAATGGGGTAAGTTCTGGGCAGATCAGGACAGTTGATCACTCTAAATGCTGAGTGAAAGAAAGCTGGGTGGGAAAGAGGACAGAGAGTCAAGAGGGCAAAGAGACAGTGACATCCCTGCAGCTGGTGAATAGGGCTGTCCAGGGCCTCAATGTGGTCCCTGTTCTGGGAATCTGACACTTTGAATATGAGGGCCCACCTTGGTCCCACCTTGGTGGTATGGCTGCAATGTGTGTTGGGGTTAGGGGAGGAAAACTCTGGGGACTTGGGACTGGAGAAGGAGCCTGATGGCTATGTGTACAGCTGGTCACTGCAGGCTCCTGTGGGCAGGGGCAGGGCAGCCTTGCCCTATGCTGTGTTCTGCACCACCTTCCCTGCACTGGGACGTTCTCTCCAGCTGGCAGGGAGCTAGGAGTGGCTGTTGCTCTGCAGTTCATGGTCTGGGCAGAAGAAGTAGCCACCCATAGATGCAGACACAGGGGCTCTTCAGGACTGGCAGTGCAGGGGATGGCACACATCCATGTATGGGAGTGGGGAGATGAGGATGAGGAGTTAGTGACTTGGGCTCTGGAGCTGTGGGGAGGGGGCAGGTCTGAGGGAGAGCTAGCACTCCTTCATTAATTCCATCATCACTGGAGGCTTTGCTCACCTTGTTCTGTCTGGGAGCACAGGTAACTCGGATATGCTGTGAGGGCTACAACGCTGAAGCGCCTCCCTGAGCCCCACCCTCTGCAATGTGCTGTCCTCTCACTGTGAGATGCCTGCCACATGAGCAAGTGATAAGCTGCTTCAGTGTCTCAGGTATTTCTACCTTTGTTCTCCTAAACATTGCATGCATGGGGCAGACTCCAAGCAGCTAGCTAAGACTAGAAAAAACTGAACTTAGATTTGAGCTATTGCCCATCTCAAGACAGTTTGAGTTAAGCCAAGTTAACTGCCTGCTTGGGAAAAAAAAGCCAAAATCAAACAAACCAACCAAGCAGAACTCTTCGGAAGATTATCACAGAATCCATAGTCTTTATACTGTATCAATTACCATGTCCAGTGTACAATCCAAAACTACTCAAAATATGCAGAAACAGGAAAAACAAACTACACTCAAGAAAAAAGACATAATAGAGACCGTCCCCCAAGATGACCCAGACATTGGATATTAGTACACAAGGAAATTAGCACAATGATGCAAAGAAAAGTATGCTCGTAATAAAGACAAAAGACAGGAAACATAAGAAGAAAAATAGAAACTCTAAAAAGAACCAGATTTAAATTCTGGAATGGAAAGATGCTATGTACGAAATAAAAGTATTGGTGGTTGTGACCAGAGACCCAGACTCTTGCGGCGGCAGCAGCGTCGGGCTGCAGTGGGCTGCAGGCCACGTGGCCCAGCTCGGAGCTGCGCAGGGTTGGGCTCTGGCTCCCCGACAGCTGCGCTGCTTCTGCCGGTGGGCGGCCTCGGCCTGCTGGGACACTCCGGTTAGGGCTGAGGTGGCGGAAGATGGAGTGACTTGCTCAAGTACACAGAGCTGTTAAGGACTGAGCAGTGTCTCCCGCATTTCCTGGCTTCCAGCCCAGTTCTTGATCCTCATCACCAGGGTGTCTCACGTTTGAGCTCTGGCCAGTTTGGGGTGACAGGGGACATATGGCCTAGTCTCCAGCCCCCATCCTCGTCTTTCACCACAGCTTAACTGGCAGAAGCCAAGATGGGAAATTTGACAAATCCTGCTTAAAACCGAAGAAACTTTTTTTATTTTTCCTGAGGGGATTGGTCCTCCTAAGCTCACTGTGGAGTTTACTAACATTTATAAAGCAAATGTATTTCACAGGGCCTAGCTTCCAAAGCCCTGTAGCTGCAGGTATAACCTAACTTTTTAAAAATTACACATAGGAATGTTAAGCTTGCAAAAGATGGGAAATTTTCCCCAGGCTAAAGTCTCTGTTGTAGATAAAGAATTGTAACACAGCAAAATTGCTGGCTCCAAGGGCAGATGTCCTCAGTGCAAGTAAACCTAATGACTGTTGTCATGACAATTATTTTACTGTTCTTTTTGTAACCACCTATATTCCTTTTCTATAATTTTATGGCTTGGAGAATAAATACTGAGAGAAGACCCCAGTTCATTGTTAATTTTGCAAGGAATGCCTCTCTCTTGAGGGTTCATGGAAATTAACCCCTTCAGGACTTCTCACTGCTCAGAAGAAATGGGCTTTGAGCAATCCTTTTTGCGTCTCTATCACCCTGGGGCAGAGGTGACAGCTTACCATTCACAAATCCTTTTCTCACACTTCACCTTCCTGCATCTTAACATTTTAAATTAGTTACCAACTAATTTCACATTAATAATTTCAGGTGTCTGACTTCTCTTGGACAAAGTCACCAGATCTGGTAACGGTAGTGCTAAAATTCCATGTGGTGTCAGACTGGAATAGTGTCTGCTCCCTTTAGATGGAGGCATGTAAAAAAAAATCCAGTTATAAAATAGGCAAAACACGTGAGTATATATTTCACTAACAGGAGATACAGATGCCAAATAAGCACAACATCACTAACCATTAGAGAAATGCAAATTCAAAACTCAGTGAGGTATCTCTTCAAACTTATCAGAGCAGCTAAAATAAAAAATAGTGACAATACCAAATGCTGAGAAACTAGATTTCTTATACTTTGCTGTTGGGAATATAAAATGGAAAACAATTTAGCAGATTCTTATTCATTTACCTTACTACCCAGTCAATGCAGTCTTGGGCATTTACCCAGAGAAATTAAAACACAAAAACCTGTATACAAGCAGCTGCTGTGGAAAACAGTATGGCTATTCCTCAAAAAATTAAAAATAGAATTACTATGTGATCCAGCCATTCCACTTGTGAGTGTAAACTCAAAAGAACTGAAAGCAGGGATATGAACAGATATTTATACATCTGTCTTCATAGTAGCATTATTCACAAAATAGGTGGAAGCAACCAAAGTGTCTATCAACAGATGAATGTGCAAAATGTGGTTTATACACACAATAGAACATAATTTAGCCTTAAAAAGGAAGGAAATTCTGATGCAAACTACAACACAGATGAATCTGGAAGACATTATGCTATGTGAAATAAACCATTCATAAAAAGACAAATAGTGTATGATTCCGTTTATATGAGGTTTCTAGAATAGTCAAATTCGTAGACACAGAAAGTAGAACAGTGGTTACCAGGGGCTGGGGAAAGGAGGAAATGGGGAATTCTTATTTAAGGGGTACAGAGTTTCAGATGGGGAAGATGAAAAAAGTTCTAGACATGGACAGTGGCGATGGTTACACAGCAATGTGAATGTGCTTAGTGCTGTCGAGTGACGCACGTAAAAATGGTTAAAACAGTAAATTTTATCTTATGTAAATTTTGCCACAATTTAAATAAATGGGTAATTTTTGAAAACCCTGTAAAAAATGAAATGAAAAATTCACTGGAGGGGCTTAACAAAGAGTGGAAATGGCAGAAGGGAGAATAAAGACAGATAAATGGAAATTATCCAATTTGAAGAACACAGGAAAACATTTCAAACAATGAGCAGAAACTCAGGGACTAGTGGGACAATATTAAAAACTCTAATATATGTGTTCTTAGAATTTCA